AAATGAATTTTTATTAGAGACTATTAATGACAGGATATCACAGGGTAGGATGTGATGAGTCATAAAGTTTCAGAACAATGTTTAATGACGGGGAAAGGTTTCCAATATATTTTAAGTTAGAAAGCTACTTACCAAGCAGTTTTAAAAAAAAATGAGATCACTCAAAACAACAGCACAGTGTGTGGACACAAACATATACCCTCTATTCGCACACGGGGCCACACACCTGGCCACTGGGGCATGCTACAGCCCAGGTTATAAAACACCGCTGCTCTTTGATCTAGGCTTTGTAACTGAATCCCATATGTGGCAATTTTCCATTTCTTCCAATTTTGAGATACACATTGCCTTTTGCCACTAAAAGAGGTCTTCTCTTAAAAATTGCAAGATTTAGCTAAAGTCTAAATATCGTGAAAGACATTTAACTATTCTGTTATATCTATACTATGTATGATCAAAACAGAGAAATAGATCTGTGTATTAATGCACGCATACACATACAGTGCCTTGTTACAAAATTTTAATTATACATGTACAATTTCCTTCAAATCTATTATCCAGTGATCAGACGTAACACATTCCTAGTTTTCTCCAAGTTACACTAAGATTTCAGAAAGCGGCCAATCACTATGCAAAAATGTATCTATGCTGCCTCCTCGTGGCCATTGAAGGAATATGCGCCTGTACTCTCAGCTTTCCAAAATGAGAATGTTCTCAACACTGCTGCTATGCTGTACTGGAAGAAAGAGAAAAACTGATACCTCCACAAGTGGCTCTAAATGTGTCATGACCAAGGACTTACGGCTACTAAGTCAGGATGACAGAGTCAGGACTTGAACTTAATCAGCCTAAACCTGGAGTCCATGCTCCAGGTCACATTATATTCCCTTGGTTCAAAGCATATGTCATCCACCTAAGACCTGGACCCCCAGATGAACTGAAGTCAAGCTGTGGACTGGATGCCGCTTCCCTCTCTGGCCCTACAAAGGCTCTACCGAGGCTCGGGACCCAGCCACTCGCCTAATTCTGCACCATAGGTTGGTTCTGCAAACATTCTGTTTACTGAAAGACTAACCTTGGAGGAAGTGTTCAGTACTCGGAAAGGATTTTCTACTTGAAGGTCCAACAGGAAATGTCTGCCACTTTCTTTGGCCTTATGCTAAGCCTGAGCTTCATTTAGATCCTGTGAACAGATGAACCATTGGTGGCAGAAAGATCTTCAGAACCAAAACTGTAAATTACCTCCAGGCAAGCACCCAGGCTTTCTGGAAAACACTGAGGAGCAAACAGCGCCAGTGGCTAATGTTCATTTGGTTTCTCTGGAATCACCTATTTAAGGAATTCAATCTTGCTGAATAGTTTGTGCCTCTGAATAGTACATAAAATCATTTCTGGAGTGTGGTGGGTTTCCACATAAATCCTCCCCATGGACTTACTCCTGAAAAGTTGGTAACAACACTTTTTCAACACTTCTGGAGATCTGTCAAGTGCCTCAGGTGAACCCTACCTAGTTTGTCCTACACTCTCCTGTTTTCAACTTTTTAATTAGGCCAAAATCTGAATAAAAATGTAAAATGCAGTCTTATTTGAAAACTACACAGAATTTTTATACTCATTCCCATGTTTGGTATCATTTGACAACAGAAACCTTTTACATAAAGCTTGGTCCATCTTCCTAAGTATTCCTTAAGAAGGACATTGCATAGGGGTTACTGGATCATGGTTCATTTCTGGTCTCACAAGGCTTGGCAGGAGCAGCCCAAGGCTAAGCAGGCAGGCAGTACCACTGCAATGCTCCCCAGCAGGGAGGCGACCCCCAGAATACTGTAGGCTGAAATGATTAGTCTTATCACTAGTAAATCAGATTGCCATTTCACTGTCTCTGTTAAATCAATAGGTAAAAATGCTATCAAATTATAGCTAGAGCTCGATCACATTAAAATTCATAACACTCTCAAGTGGAACTATTTCCACTTTCCAAATGCTGAATAGGACTGAAAAAGAAAACTCATTATCAACTTTGCAACTCATTAGCAGACTTCCTCTGCATAAACAATGACGAATGACTCCTGACAAGTTGCTAACTGCTTCTTCATCTTCCTTCTGGCCATGGCATTTTGACAAGGATAAGAGGAAGGCCAGTAGATGTCCAATCACAGTGCATCCTCCAATTTCCAAAAGTGGTGGATTAAATAAGGAAATCGTTCAGATCTGAGCTCAAATTCCTTCTGCTGCTTTCACTAGCTGTGTGAACCAGGGCTGATCACCAAACCTCTCTGAACCTTGCTCTTGTTCATAGTTAATGCTAATGGTATCATCTGACTGGTTGGGTTTTTTGAAGGACTGAAGAACTCTGTGAAGTTGCTTGATACATAGTTATCAAGTTAAGAGGCTGGCTTGCTGCCTCTTCCCTTCTAAAGAGGGCATCTGCTTCACCCCCTCCTCAAGCAGTCATGCACCAGATGAAAGCATCCCACTCTCTAAGGCTATGGACCCAGTGACAGTTTCTCAGTCCGAGAAACCAGGTGTGAACCGAGAAAAACAATCTGTGGGGACTGGGGTTATTTTCAGTCTATGATCAGAAGGCAGGTGCAAGCCGCCCACATGGCACCCCCACAGCCCCATCGATCACTCCTCCCAGCTGTGCGTAGGCCCAGTACCTCCAAGACCTGGGACCCTCTGCACGATGGTCTCTGCTCACAGGGCTGAACCGGGTGCCCGAGCATCACTGCACAGCCTTCCTCGGCACAGTATGATGACCAAGGATTATTTTCAACTTTTGTGATATTTCTGAGGTTTCAACACACTTCTGTGCATGGACTAGCCACTATTCCCGGGCACTGATGTGATGTTCACAAGTGATGTTCTCCACCGATGGGCAAGATGTGTTCAAGATCAACGTAGGAAAAGAGTAAGAGTGGGACAAGCTGCCAAGATGTGGGTCCAAGCTCATTCCACACACTCCTTCTTGGGCTGTGCTAAGGGAAGCTGAGTCCTGTTGTCACACAGGCTCAGGACAGTCTGACTGAGCTGAGAACATAGTTAGGGGTCTGCAGCCTCTGAGCGGGACAGCATCCAAATTATTTTCCGTGGTGGTCACTTTTGTGAAAATATCAAATTTATCATGAAGAATTGTAGGTAAGGTAGAGAAAAGTATTTCAATAATAGCTGCAAAATTATGTATGCTTCCCTAAAAGAGTTTTTAATGTTTTTCTCTTTTTTAATTTAAAAAAGTCTCCTTTTGAAATCTATTTAGGCCCAACAGGGAAACTGAGAAACTATAAAGAAGCCTTTCCAACTGGCCAGTTTATTGATTTATTCAGATGCAATGAATAATTCAGGATCAAAACTGACTGATGAGCATTTTATATTAGAAATACTAAAATGTAGCCTCGGCAATGGGCTGTTACCAAACCAGAGGAGAAAGGGACTTTTACAATGATGAGAGGGCTACACAACTGTAATAAAAGGGCTCTCGGATTCTTTAAATACAGGTTTTATAAAACAGGGGCTCCCTCATAGCAGGAATTTAGAAAACCTAAATAAGGGACCAGGAAAAAAACTAATTAATACAAAATCAACAAGCAACTATAAACCAGAGACACACTACGGGGAAGGGGAGAGGAAGGATTAGGGTCAAAATAAGGGGGGTGCAATTGTATGGGGAATATAACCCAAATGAAAATGCATACATTGTGCAAAAATGAAAAATGATGTAAGAATTATATAAAATAAAATATTAAAAAAAAAACAAACAACCAAGGCTCCCTAGCTTACATTAACTGGGTCAACTCTCCCACCATGTTCATGATCATAAACCAGATAAACAAGGAGAAATAACATATGCTTTGGATCTGGAGCAGCCGAGGGAGACCATCCCCAGGTTTTCAGCACTGGAGTTTAGTCAAAAGGTAAAAAAACATGCCCTGCTTCCCTCTCCTTGCCACCCTCCCACACCTCGCAGCTCTCGAACACATCCTCAGAGGCATTTAGCAGTGGGTGGTGGGCAGCAGTCCGCACTGCCCGGTGCCCCTTACCCTGCTGGCTGACAGCCTCCCTCAAGCCCTGAGACCTTGTCCTGGGCTGCCCCACTCCTCAGAGGTCCTATATTGCCCCACACCTCATAAGGCGCTACCACCCACCCCACCATGCCTCTTAAGGATGTCCCTTCCCATGTTCTCCTGTCCACTCCTCTGCGACCTGCTCCCCTATGGCTCCCAGAGGCCTCTCCCTCCCCTTCACAGCCCATCTGCAAGGCTGCCCAGTTCTCCTCCACAAGGTGCTGCCCTTCATAGGGCAGCTCAGAATTTGACTGACCTCAAATTCCTTCTGCTGCTTTCACTAGCTGTGTGAACCAGGGCTGATTACCAAACCTCTCTGAACCTGGCTTTTGTTCATAGTTAGTGCTAAGGGTGTCATCTGACTGGTTGTTGTTTTTTTTTTTTTTTTTATGTTCATATTGTTTTATTCATAAAATGCAAAAATTGGAAAATACCCAAATGTTCATCAAAATAGGATAATAAATGTTGGTATTATCATACAACAGAATACCTTACAGCAATGAATAATAGACAAAACAATATGGGTGAATTTTTAAGACATAAAAAGAGATCAAACTCAAAAAAACCTATTTGTGTGGGTTTCTATATTAAAAGTTTTGAAATAGGCAAAATTCACCTATAAAATTAATATAAAGTTTGTAGAATCTTAAGGAAATTTAAGCAAGTAACTACCATAAAACATTAGGATAATGCTGAATGGTTGGGTTTTTTGAAGGGCTGAAGAACTCTGTGAAGTTGCTTGATACCCAGATATCAAGTTAAGAGGCTGGCTTGCTGCCTCTTCCCTTCTAAAGAGGGCATCTGCTTCACCCCCTCCTCAAGCAGTCATGCACCAGATGAAAGCATCCCACTTGCAGATGAAAACGCTGAGTCCCACCAGCCACCCCTACCCTGACCACACCTAGCGCCCCGCGCAGGTGGGGCAGGGGCAGCGCTCACCGCATGGTGTAGAGCAGCGTGCCGTCGTCCTCCAGCCGCAGCAGCTTGTTGGGCGTCGTCATGTTGTGCGCGATGGACTTCTTCCCGTTGTGGAAGAATGTGTCCGGCGTCCAGATTTTGCTGGCCAGAAGGTTGTTGAGAGGAAGGCGCTGCATGGGCCCCTTAAACCGCAGCCTCTCATCTTTCCAGCTTTGGCGGAAAAAGACATCTATGGTGTATTCCTGGAGCAAGGGAAGGCACCAGGAGGGCTCAGTGGAAGTGCCCTGGGCCGAGTTCCTTCCCGTTTATTCAGTAGGATGGGGGAAAGGTTGGGAGGCCAGGCCCTGGCACCTACCATTTCCGTGTCGGACACAGGGCCGAAGCTGGTGACATAGATGTCCGTCCTCACCTGAGTGATTCGCTCTGAAACACAGACACAGTTTCCTGGCCTGGGCACCCAGCTCACCCGGGCGCTGTCACCCTGGGGTGATGTCCCCTAGTTACCAGTTTCATGCCTGGCAGACGGAGGGCTTTACAGTGTGTTTGATAAGGTTGGGGACTTGCTAAACACTATGTGAAACCAAGAGGTTCCAAAGGGTAACGTGAAATAAAATACCCATCATACAAAGGGGCTTGGCTCTCATCACACCTCCATGCCAGAGTAATTTTCAAGAAGGGGCGCTGAGCGCTGGCTTGGGGACTGTGGGTATCTTAAGAAGGCCATTACCTGGGAATTACTGCCTGGAGTTCATGCACACCTGAACTTGGATTTCCTCCCTCTTAAACGCAGAACAATACTGCCGACCTCGTGGGGCCTGACCCTGCAGTCCCATAAAAAGGGCTTTAAAAACAGACTATCCAGGATAAGGGCACAGACCCCACAGAATACTGGCTATCAGGGAACAGAAATGTGCGAAACCATCCACCGTTCAGCTGTGGACAGGGGCAGCTTGAGAAAGAAGCCCATCTTGCTTTACATGGTGTTTTGAATTGCTAGAAATGTCTATCATGGGGGACTATTTCCATAAAAATTACAGAAAATCTATAAAATGATAAAAATAGCTAAAAATATCAGGGGAGGCGGCAGAATATGTGTGTGTTCCCTGGGTACCACTGGGCCCCACAGCCCCCCCCAGTGATCGTGAATGGGGGCCACATTCACCAGACACTAGTCAATAACTCCAAACCAAGCTTCAGGATTATATCATCCCAGGCTCAGAGCTCCCCAGGAATTTTCTCTCCCAGCACCCTGTTGAATGGGAATCACACATTCACAGGTGCTTTGTATGATGTTGTGTGTTTTCAATGCCCTTCTCCGTCCTGAGATGCCTGTTCCAGTGGGGTGGTCTGTTGGACCCTGGATCACATGCAGGGTGAAGGAGAGACTCTGGCAGAACTGACTGTAGTTCAGTGAATCTCTCAGTGCTCTGACCTGTGGGTGTGTTTGAAGGGATGCAAGATGCCGGACTTAGTAAAGATCCAGGGACATAATTCAGAGGGTGGAGTAAAATACTGGAATGGTGGAAGTTGATGATCTAAGTGAGTCTTTAAGTGAGTCTCCCCAATAAAAATGCAAATATTGGAGAAGAACTAAACTTTTACCTCTGAGAATGTGTTTCCTGGAGAGTCTTCCCTTGACCTAATGGGACAAATTCACATGTGCCATCCCCAAGTCGGCTAGAGCCCAGAGCATCCCACATGCCCTGAAACAGCACATCATTCCCAGCACAAAAATAAGCCGGACCAGTTGTGCCCTGAAAGCACATTTTGCTCTCCATTAAATTGTACCATATTCTATAGGGCCAAAGTAAATACGATGATTATGACCCCAGTGAAAAATTAAACATGATGTAGGAGGATGTGACTAGCCACTGCACTAGATATCTGAAAAGAATTTGCAAAGATACAAGAATATGAAGTGGATCCTAAATTATTGCTTTACATAGGGTCCCCTGCAAACCGGTTTCTCCTTAAGTGAATCAGAACATCATCAGGATGATCTGGGACAAGGGAGTCTGCAGGGACATCTTAAGGAGACCACGGGGCCTAGCTTCTTGCATCTGGAAAATGATCAAAGGGATGCAGGAATCTTGGCAACACCCATCAATTTAACTCCTGGCATGGAAACTCCTGGGGGAATTGTCTGAATCACAGCAAGCCTGAGCCTGAGCCTGAGCCTGGGCTTAAGCCATTATATCCATGGGGCCTGGGGGAACACAGCCCAGAGGCCCACTCACCTCCCAGCCCAGGCCGCAGCCGGTTGTCATAGCCATCCAGGAGTCCATCCAAGATCCTGGTGAATATCGTGATATTGTCGTTGGTCTCATCTTTCACTGTACTGGTTGGCATCTGTGACAAGCTTTTTTAACAGAGAAAAAAAATAGAAAGTTCAAACTTGTATTACTTATTTCTCACACATTCTTCTCCAGATAGAGAAACCGGGTGGCTTGTCTTAAAGGAGGGCATCTGAAAACCATCTCCTGTGGTATCACAAGTCTTTGTTTTAAATAAACAAGACTTAATTATTTTTTTAAAGATTTATTTATTCATGCATACAAGAACCAGGTAGAGGACAGATGTGCGGGAGGGTGAGAAGATTCACCAGAGACAGAATGGGGAGCAGAACAGGCAGAGTGACCAAAATACACTGCTGAGGGGAGCAGCGGGCGAGACAGGAGAGTCTACCCCGCCATGTGGGTAGCTCCCTGGCTGACCAGATCAAACCCACACTGCAGAAGCTGCAGACAGCTTCACAGCACTACGCTCAACTGCCTGCACCACCAGGAAGGCCCCACAAGACTTAATTCTGAAGTCTTCAGACAGAGGGCTGGCTCTGGTGGCCCATCAACCTAACCCTTCCTTGCTGTCAAGGAGCCAATAATGTCAATAATGTAGTCATTTTAAAAGCACATTATCCATGCATAGGAACTGGCCGAGGGGATTTGAGAAGTTTGTTCTAAATACAGAAAAACTGAGTCTTCATATTATTAATGAATCACCTGCAGTCACCCCCACCTGGACAGTCAGGGCCAGAGGGAACGTTTAAAACCATTATCTGAGTTGAAAGGTCAGATTGGTGTGCCTGCATGTCACTGCAACACCAAGTGAGACATGTGAGCCTCAGAAGCTGTGCCAGGACTAGAGCATGTGGTAACAAAAATGCTGGAGTTTGTGATATCTCCCAGGGTTTCAACACCAATCAGTACCACTAGCTCATAGCGCATTCATCTCCAGCTAAGACACATGAAGATAAGACACAGGAACTGTGAAGCTCATGTCTGAAACCCTTCCTGGGGTTTACTCAATGCTGCTTCAGTGGAAGGACAGTGACCCAACTTCAAATAAAACCCCTAGAAAAGAAGACTGAATATTCAGGGAAGGTACAACAACAGTCTTCATATGTCTAGGTCAGTGAGGTTATCTAGACCCCAAAGTCTATGCAGATGGAGAAGATGGGAATTAGAAACTGCCTTGAGCAGACTGGACTAACAAAGGGAGTTACTGGAAAGAAAACCCCGCATCTAGAAGATGGTAACACACCTGAGGAGCATGGCCCCCACCTCAGATCTCAGAACCTGCTTTCAAAAAGATGTACAAACAGAGTATTTGGAATTCTCAAGAACTGGGCCTGCACATTTGGCTTCATGGAGAACTTATCTAGCTGAATACCAGCTGTAGTTCTCAAGATGTTAGCATCCTTCGCACTTGGGAGAAGAAGAGGCAAGTTCTGGAACTTTCCTGAAATGCCTGGCTATAAGCCCCAGCTCTGCTTACTGCACTTTCTCTTCCACAAATCAATGAAAACAGAACTCAGAGCACTGGGTGGATGCTAAGGGTAGAAATCATGTGCTCCTGCCCTACCCAGTTCTTGAAAATTAGTCCTTTTCATTGATTGCATCTACACAGATCAATTTCTTGCTGGCCTAAAACTATTCCCTTTTGAATGAGATCGTACAAAACTCTTCTGATCTAATTTCACATCACTATTAAAATGCATATATTTGAAGGTCTAACAAACTAAAATTCAAAGCTATTAGCAGACAGCCCACAGACACAATTTTTTTTGACTTTGAGATTTAGTATTTTACAATACTTATGCTAATTGATCAGAGGAATTAAGATTTTTAAAAAGGGCATTTTACTTAAAGCAATATGTAGACTCAATGCACTCTTTATCAAAATTTCACTACATTCTTCACAGATAATAGAACAAAAAAAATCCTGAAATCTATACAGAATCACAACAGACCCCAAATAAATAAAGCAATCCTGAGAAAAACAAACAAGAATGGAGGTATCACAAGCCCTCACTTTAAACTACATTACAAAGCTATAATGATCAAAACAGCACAGTATCAGAATAAAAACAGACACTTCCATTTGCTGTACCAATGGAACAGATTAAGAATCTGGAAATAAACACACACACACACACACACACACACACACACACATAGAAGCAATGAATTTATAAAAAAGGTGATAAGAATATGTGATGATGCAAGGAAGTCTCTTCAATAGTGTTGGGTAAACTGGACTGCAAAAAAGTATGAAACTAGACCACTACCTCACACCATACACAAAAATTAACTCAAAATGAATTAAAGACCTGAAAACCATAAAATACATAGACAGTAAGTCTTGGTCTTAGCTATATCTTTCTGGATCAACTCTAATGGCAAGGGGAACAAAAGTAAAAATCAGTGGGACTGGGCTTCCCCGGTGGCGCAGCGGTTGAGTGCTGGGTTGCGAAGCTGCCCGCAGCCTCTGCAGCGCCGGTTCAATCCCCGGCTGCTCCCCAGCCACTGGAGGAGGGTCCCACATGGTGCGCAGACCTCTCCTGCTGCCCACTGCTCCCCTCAGCAGTGTGCTTCGGTCTTTCTGCCTGCTCTCCTCCCCGCTCTGGCTCAGTGAATTCTCTCACCCTCCTGCGCTTCTGACTGTTCCCAGTGCTTGTATAAATAAATACATAAAATAAATAAATAAATAAATAAAAAACCAGTGGGACTACATCAAATTAAAAAGCTTTAGAACGGTGAAAGAATCCACTATTATAATGAAAAGGCAACAACTGAATGGAAGAAGATATTTGCAAATCATACATGTGACAAAGGGTTAATAGTATATATATATATATATATATATATATATATATATATATATATACACACACACACACAAATCAACAAGAAAACAACAACTCAATTTTAAAAATAGCCACAGGATCTGAATAGCCATTTCACCAAAGAAGACATTGCAGATGGCCAACAGACACATGAAAAGATGCTCATCATCACTTATCGTTATGCAAATCAAAACCACCACAAGATACCACCCCCACATGTCAGAATGGCTATTATCAAAAAGACAGGAAACACCACGTGTTGGTAAGGATGTAGAGAAAAGGGAACCTTCATATACCATTGGGAGGAATGTAAACTGGTACAATCACTATGGAAATCTGTGTGGAAATGTCTCAAAAAATTAAGAATAGAATTGCTGTATGATCCAGCTATTCTACTTCAGGGCAAATTATCCACAGAATACAAAAGCACTAATCCAAAATGGTATCTGTCCCCATAGTCACTGTAGCATTATTTATAATACCTAAGACATGGAAACAACCTAAATGTCCAAGGTTGAATCCACATAATGTCTCATCAGGCAGCTATATGTGGAAATATGAGAGGAACTAGAGGGGTTATGCTAAGTGAAATAAGTCAGGAGAAAGACAAATATGATTTCACTCATATGTGGAATATAAAGAAACAAAGAAAACAAACAAACAATTCTTAGACACAGAACAGACTGGTGGTTACTAGAGGGAACAGGAGTTGGTGGTGATCGTGATATAGTACATCAGATGGTGAGGTATTGTGTAATGCTATACACCTGAAACTTATATAATGTCATCAACCAATGTTACTTCAAAATTTAAAAACAAGTAAGTAAATAGATACAACAAATTCTCTTTTCTCTGATAACTATCATAGTTTCATACTTTAGAAAAACAAAGTGCTCAGCCTCACAGATGGAATACCGGAACAAAGGGCCTTAATGTTGTCCTGTGGGTTTGTGAAAAAGAGAGTCAATGATACTTTGTCCCAACTCAGTTGAGTGATTATTGAACAAACTAGATCTGGCCCCACTATGCACTCAGTAAAGTGCTCATAACTCTCTCTTATCAGTTTGGTTATTCAATTCTAGGATAAGTCTAAGCATTCAGTTTTTGGAAGGTCCTACTAGCTCTGACTAAGGCGAAAGCATACACACTATTTTTTTTTAAGCATATCACTTATATGTGGAGCTCAAAAAAGAACAATGGGTTGAAATGGAATAGAACGATAGTTACCAGGAGGTGGTGGTAGGGGGAAGTGGAGAGATGGTGGTCAAAGTGGATAAATTGGAAACTAGCAGATGAAACGGTTCTGGAGATCCAGCACACAGCATGGTGATTAAGTCAACAATTCTGTATTCTGTATTTCAAAGTCACTAATAGACTAGACTGTCAACGTTCTTACCACAAATAAGAAACAATAATTATTTGACGTGATAGGATGTTAGCTAACGCCATGGTGGTACCATATTACAACATAAATGGATCACATCAACATGTTATACACCTTAAAATGACAAATTTTTATGTATTTCAATAAATAAATTTAAAATATATTTAAAACATAAAAATATCACTATGAATCAGGAAAAAACAAAGAAAAAGAATGTTTCTTTTTTTGAATGTTTTCTTTTCTTTTTTTAAAGATTTATTTATTTTTATACAAGAACAGGGGTACAGGCCAGATGCATGGGAGGGTGAAAGGATTCACTGGAGACAGCAGGGAACAGAACAGGCAGACTGAAGAAATACACTGCTGAGGGGAGCAGCGGGCGAGACAGGAGAGGTCTGCTTCACCATGTGGGATTCTCGCTGGCTGACAGGTATCGAACCTGCACTGCAGAGGCTGTGGACAGCTTCACAGTGCGGCATTCAACCGCCTGCACCACTGGGGAGGCCCCGAAAAAGAATGTTTTGAGTTACACTTTTCTGAACTATTCTGTGTTCTGTTGTGGAAATGTCTTAAAGGACATTGGGTTTATGCAGCCCTGGCTGTTAGGAGACAATGATGGATTGTGTCACTGGCCACTGGGGAAGCCCTAAACACTGTGCCATCAGCCACTGTGCCCGGGGCTGTGTGTCCTTGGCCCATGATGCACATCTCCACTGCGGTGTCCAGGAACACCATCCACTTGTCTCAGAATTCTCCTCACATTTCCCCAAATCACTGCCAATGGCAACAGGACAGGATGCAATGCTTGCCAAGCTCTCCTTGTACTTCACCAAGAAATGCAAGGAAAATT